CATGCAGTAGTGTAGGATTTGTTATCACACCACTTTGCAAGTACCCTCTTGTTTCTTTACTTTTTTACAATTCAATCCTACTACTTTTCCATTTTTAATGTTTTTTATTTACTTGTAATATAGGGACTTTGGTCAAAATTCACCAAAATAAATAGGAGAGAGTTCTGCACTTTTATTTTTTTGTGATACATACATGTATACATTATCTTACATTGTGTAGAAAGTTTGAGCTGATTCTGATCAATTTGGATTTTTTAATTTGCCCCAAACCAAAGTTGCTGCTAAAGTCCTGCATCAATGCACTGTTACTATTTATAGCATCAATGCACTGTTACTATTTATAGCATCAATGCACTGTTACTATTTATAGCATCAGTGTACTGTTACTATTTATAGCATCAATATTTGGTGAGGTATTAATGAACTCTACAAGAGAAGAGAAGCTGTCAAGGAACAAGAAGACACTGTCTCAAATTAATAAGAAAAAAATGACTTTCCTTTATCAGTTTCTAGCCAATGACTTGACTGTTAATTATAAATAATTTTAAAAATTATCATTATTATTATTATTATTATTATTATCATTATTATTATTATTATTATTATTATTATTATTATTATTATTATTATTATTATTATTATTATTATTATTATTATTATTATTATTATTATCATCATCAATGCCGTGAGATGTTTTTATGACAATTTGTAAAATATGAAAATGAATTAAGTGACTGATTTTGCTGCCATTTGTTTGATCCAGTCAAGTCAGTCCATTATTGTTTATTTGTCTGATGTTGAAATTATTTATGATAACACAAGCTACAATGTACATTGCTACATTAAGTGAGTGCAGTGTGTGGGTGTCAGGTGAGGTACCAGTATGTATGGTATGTTATTATTGAGTTAGTTATTATTAATAGTCTAGACTGTAGAGGCTGTTTACTGGAGGAGATGTCATCAAGTAAGTGACCTGTTCTCTTTCTCTCCCTTGCTTTACTCCTCTGTATCCTCTCCTTATTATAACTATTCACTATATTACTGTGTCCTCTTGTTATCTATAGTCTATCAACCAGTGAAGAGGTACCTTCACTCTACAGTACAGGTAGGAGACTACCTGTACATGTGGGGTGGGGACCAGT